CCAACAGCACACCACGTGGGATGTGAGCTACCATCAGACCACAACACAAATCCACCTCCCCCGGACCCGCGTCCACCGTACCTGTCAATATCCTGTGTTTATCGGTCCCAGGATCCGCTCGGCGCTACGGCCACCGCGTGGCGCCGCCCACACATGTCCAGCGTGCACCCACTGCACCCCACACGGGCCGGCCGCGCGCCCAAACTGCCCGGCGGCGGCGCGGGCGGCGCCGACTGCACCGGCCGAGCGGGCGGGCGGGCACCGCCGGCGGGCCCGGCGGTGACGTCACGCTATGACGTCACCCGCTCCCCGATGGTCGCCGCCGCCAGCGGTGCCGGCCGGCGGGCCGCGGGGATGGGTGGGGAGAGGGGGGATGAGGTGGACCGACGGTCTCCCAGTGATCTGCGCTGTGCAACGCGGGGGCGCCGTGGGAGGTGAATGTCGGCCATTTCAAATATCGACTCTGCAGGACTGTCATTTCGGATCAACATAATCGGGTATATACGACATTCTTCAAAAGCTTGTGGAAGTCTAAAAGCAGGTAACCTAACTTATGCTACTCCAAAACAGCCACAGAAACGTGAAAAACGTGAGCGTTAGCCTCCGAAAAAGGAATTATGAGGAGCGGCACAAAGTGTCCCTTTGTAGGCCACAGGTCCGGTAAAAGCCGAGTCGCGTGTGCTCCGTCTAGCCCGGTTACTGCGGTCTTCATTTATCATGTAAAAGGACAGGATGCTGAAAATATGCACGCTTTATAACCAAAGTTTTTGCAAGAACTCGACGGTCAACTGGCGAGAGATGGCCGTACGCCGTATCTTTTCGCCGCGCCGCCCGTCTACTTTTCTAATTCTATCGGCAATAGTGAGTGAGAAACGCGTGAATACGGCCGGACTGTCAGACCCGGACACAAACAATAAACTTTTCTTATTGAACAACCTGGCAGGCCATGCGGTCCCTCTATCATCCATTCACAAACTTTGACAGCTTGAGATCAAAATATCAACTGATTTCAAGATTAAACGGTGAAGAGGTGCTTGACAAGCCAGGCCCGGTCGATGCATCGCGTTAGAGAAGAGGAACAAGATGGGATTTTTCTTGAGAGGATGGACAATTTGTCATGCAGTGAGTGCGTGAACCAAATTTATTCATAACGACCAATGGTTGGTGAATATATGCGCCATCTAGGCTAGACCGGATTGGTAAGTTGTCTGTATCCAATTCAACAAGTTTATTAGACCACTTCATACAAAAACTCGTTCACCTTGATGATTGACCAGCCCAAATTTAGTGCTCAAACCGCTCAGCTTCGACTACTATATCAGTACAGCAGCCTGTATCATAACGGTATCATAGACTTTACTGTATCAACAGTCAATGACATGAGTCGAGCCGCCACTGGCCAATGAATGCTCGCTCCACCTGAGCAGCCTGACGGCCACCGGTCACAGCTGGATCTAAATAGGCCCCGCAGTCTGTCCACACTGCGCCGGGGCGACACAAGTGGCCCTCGACCCTCCCGGCAGGCGGCTATTACCGACAGCAGAAGCTCTGAGTCACGAACACAGCGGGGGGACCAACAACTTTGGCTAACGGCGGACCTTCCACACACAACACGATAGTTGATATCAGCAGGTATTGTCCCGCTATCAGCGTGGAATCATTTTCACGTGAGCCTTGCCTTCCAACGAGATACACCACGTACGTACGTTTTACAAAACTGAAGGATTTAAATGCAATTCCCCGATTTTAAATGAACCGTGCAACAATTTGCTTTATCTGATTTTGCCTTCAATTGTCTCCCGAAGTTGACCAAATTTTCAAGGTAACTTTTGAAGTGAATTCCCCAAGGCGTTAAGCTTTGTTATTCCGAAATCCAAGTTTCCAATCTTTCAGCATTCGGGATGTTACAAGTCATCGGACTCGTGTCGCGCCTCTAAGTAGCGAGTAGCATGTCAGCAACACACGCCATTCTGTGCATTCTGTTCCTCTGTTTGCCACCGGCCACGACGGAAGCCAAATCAATCGACCCAGTCGTTACCAACCCCTGCAGGCGGGCGGGGGCGGGGGTGGGGGAAGGGGCGGCGTGTCAGTACGTGCCGGTTACCTGCCCCCCCCCCCCCCCACCCGGAGTAATGTCACTTGTCAGCGAGCGTGCCCTCAGGGCTGCGCAGTAAGCTAAGTACACAATGGTCGACGCGCAGAGCCAAGATCGAATACTTCCGTACTGGCGTGACCAAGGCCGGCCGGTAGCCGTCGGCTGAAGGTGTGCCTGGTTGTCTCCCTTAGCCACCGGACTCAACGCAGACGGCTACCTCAACCCACACATCGCGTCAACAGGCCTCATTCTACCACACCCCAACCCATCGGGAATGCTGCGCTCGCTCTGGCACAACGGACTAACCATGGATTATCGCTACCTCTTTGACTCTGTCTTCTCTAACTCACCAGGGACGGATGTGCTGCTCACCCATCAGGGACCCTAATCCTATCATACGCTGACCACCCAAGGACCCTGTCCCTCACTTACCCGCCAGGGACGACAGACTTTCTGGCCTAGCAGATGTCCTTATCTGACCCACCAGAGCCGGTGCACTTCCCAGACCCACCAGGGGACGCTAACCCTCCTGACCCACCAGGGGACGCTGCCCTCCCTTGACCCACTATGGAAGGCTGTCCTTCCTGACCCAACATAGCCGCCTGTCCAGCTCGCCTATCTCACCAGGGAGCCTATCGTCGCCCGACCCACCTTCGATGGAAAGATGCGTTGCCAGCGCAGTTCCTCCAGCCGTTTCCGCAGGCCTGCCAGGTCGTCCACCAGGCTGTCCGCGTGTCCGGTCGTGTCCGCGTGTCCGGTGTTGTCCGCGGACACCGGCCGGTAGCCCGTGTCCGTGCTGTCCGCCCCGGGACTGACGGCCGGCGTCCGCTGCTGCTCAGAGTCCAGCTCACTGGAGCGCCCCCTGCCCGAGTCGGCGCTGTCCCGGCCGGGTGGCGAGAGTAGCGCCGGGTCCGGCTGACGCCGCTCCGACTCCGGGTTGTCCTCCGGACTCCCGGGAACAGTCAGAGCCTCAGAGTCGGCACAGGTGTCCGGCCGCTCCTCCGTCCGGTCGGCAGGCTTCGGGCTCGCCTCGGTGGTCGCGTCTAGACTGTCGGACGAGGGCCAGCTCTCGAGCTCCGGCATGTCTGAGGCGGTACTCTCTGCGTCCGAGCCGAGCGAGATCGGCCCGTCGCCGCCCGCAGCGTTCCCCTTGTCGGGGCGCGGCTCGGCAGGGGGGTCGGGGAGGCGACTCGGCTGGCCGGCGGGCGGTGGCGCCGCCTGTCGGGCGGCTACCATGTCCTCCAGAACTGTCAGCCGCAGCACCAGCGCCTCCAGCTCCGACAGACAGCGCTGGACCGACTCCATCTGAGCGACAGACAGACCGCCGTCAGCCGAGCCGCGGGGGCTGTACGGTGTACACACGGCGCAAACACTACAGGGAAAACACAATCACTGGGTGACACTCTTGTGGAGTGCCATACCCAGACTTCAAGGAAAGGTTCTGATACTTGACTTTGACCTTTGAATAGTGCGGTATTTCCCGTGACTGCCAGCCTCGTGAACCCGACTGCTCACCTCGATAGTTTCTGGCGGAGGCGCCTCCGATTCTGCGTCGTGGACGCCGCTCTCAGTCGCGGCCTGGAACATCACAGCGGCGTTACAAAACGAAAACGGCTATAGCTTCGAAACACGTCACGGCAAACGCCATCTGCAAGAGTTCCACATAAATAAAAGAAAATACACTCTAAAAAAAAAAACGATTCGTTGTATTAACTTTCATCAAGTGAGCGCGGCGCTTTTTTAGAAACCAAAATCCAACCACTTGTCGTTAATTCAAACAGTTGCGGCATTGCGTGGATGTAATATGTTTCTCTGGTGTGTTACACATGCATCTGTAGTGTACTTTATTCGTCAGACGGCAGCACTGGCGGGAGTTTCGTCGCTGTTTTAGCTGTAGGTAAGCTGAAGCGCCGTTCAGTCAGTTTAGCGTACACACTATCAGCTGGCATCGACCGTTTGCCCATTGTGTGTAGCCACAGGTTTAGCTCAGACAGAAGCCACTGCTCAGAATGGCAGGCTGGTCGAATAGGGGATGGGCATGACAATCCAATTAAGCTGGAACGCCGAAATAGTCTTTCATTCGAATAGAGGACTACGAATTTTAACTCTTAAGATACCAAGCAATATGTATATCTTATCGAGGCTCTTAGAGTGAAAATTTGTCAGTGCAAAGCGAAGTCGACGTAAAGGGCAATGGCAACCATTTTCCATTTCAGTCGCGGTAGTAATGTAGATTTACATTTCAGGCACCCGTAAAACCGGCACGTCACAATCATCACGCGATTTATCTGTTAATTTCTTAGTCACAGGGACAAATCTCTACGTCAACTGGGTCACTCGCTAAACTACACAAAGCCAGCGCGCACACACACACAAACATACACACGGCAGTACTCTACGGGAAGGCGGCGGAAGCACTCCAAACCTAGCCTGGAAAACAGGGGAAGGCAGCAGCAGCAGCTCCCAGCTGAGCTGACGGTGACGTGCGGGGCCAGGCGTGGGGCAGCGGGGACGGGGCCGGTGTGGGGCAGTGGGAGGTGGCCGGGACAGGGCAGGACGGGGAGGCCAGACCACGTCTCGCGCGCGTGGCGATCACAGACCGCTCGCTGACACGGGCCGGCGCGCGGCGGTCCGGACTGACAGTGTCCGGCTGTGGCAGAACGGCGCGCGGCTCGGTCCCACTGCCGGCCGGTCCGGAGGCGCGCGCGGCGCACCGAGAGGGAGGGTTAGTGATCACCGATCAGTTACGGCAGGCGGGCGGACGGCAGCCGACGGACGGTTAGTGCACGCGGCATCGACAGCCGACGGCGGGCGCACCTGGGCGGCAGCTCCTCCTGCTCTTCACCGCTCCTCCCATCTCTCACCACTGTCGGTCCCTCGCAGCCATCCTTCCTGACACTCTACCGTAGACTCTGTGTATATTCTACCTGAACGCGCTCAGACATGCACCCTCAGGGCGAGCTGGGCGGCAACACAGGGCCGGCCTGCCCACGGAACACACGTGTATCACAAACTGAGCGGACGGGCCGGACCCCGCTCCGCCCGCGCCCACACACGTACGGGGTCACGACACAAAGAGCGCTCACAACCCGGTACGGAACCCCGACTGTTTTGAATCGCGTCCATGGTAACGCCATTAGGAGCTAGCCGGCCGAGGGCGATATACAACGCCGAGGGGCTAAATTGCCCTGCCGCCAACTTGCACCTTGCAATGCATCGATCGACGTTCGTGCACAGCACCACCGAGCGCCGGCTTCCTAGCCCTCCCTTCCCTTCCCTTCCCTCGACTGGCACTCCGCTCATGACATTACAACCACCATGCACTCACAGGCTCTATCAAACGACAACGTTCGCCTGTCGTCTGCCGCGCAGGGCAGACTCGCGCCGCACTGAACAAAGCTCTCCACACAGCAGTCACTCGAAAAGGCACCGGTCGGCCGGCCTGCGCGCGCTCTCTCACAGTCAAGGATTGGCAGGCAGTGGATCGGGATCAGGTTTACCGCGCTGTATCAACAGTTTAATGCGCTCATTCCTGGCGGTGATCTTGGCGTGCAAGCTTTTGATACGCTCTCGACAGTCCTGTGAACAGAGCAGTCGGTCAGCCGGTGCGCCGGCGGTGGCGGCGGCGTCCGGGCGCCGGCCGAGCGGCCGCTATCCGCCCACAGTGGCCACCCGACGCATGCCGTGCACGCAGCAGGCACTGAGAGCTCGGGCATACCGATCATGGCTAGGTGCTACTCCACCGCATGCGTTCCGGCCGGCCACTGTGAGCGTATAGCGGCTGATCGGCCGCCGCCTCCCCTGCACTGAGGCCGTCCAGGGGCCGCCGCCGCCGCCACAAACGGAGCCGAGCACTACACATCCAAGCCAGGTAGTGACGGTGCATGGTGCGGAGTGCCGTGCGCGGGCCGGCCGGCCGGAGACAGCCGCAGCCAAATATAAAAAGTCCAGAGACCCGACACCGTGACAAGGCAGGGCAAGAGCGTGATTCCCGTCCATGGCCCGGCCAAAAGCGCACAGAATCACCAGCAAAAGAGCCGCAGAAGCCAACTGCAGTGCGACCGAACGACACGCGTGCGGCCGGCACCCCATACGACAGGTGCGACAGAGACGAGGGACGGGAGCGCCCAGTGAGGGACAGAGCGACAAGGTGCGACATCCACCACCCAGAGGTGCGGCAGCCGCCCGGCTAGTGGCGGCGGGAGAGGGCGGGAGGCGGCACTGCGCCCACCTGGGCACTAGTCACAAAGAAGGGTGGGTAGGTAACTGATTTGACGTCAGGTGAGCCAATATACTTCCACCCAACTTAAGGTATGAACAAGAGCGTTCTATAATACGACTGATGCGTTGACAGAGGGGTTTGAACCCCGCTGTCTGGCCACGGGATGCGAAAGGTACCGCCTCGTCCACCGTAACCGCTGCCACCACCGGCGGCCGCCCTCCCCAGCCACTCGGCTCCCTCACTCACCTCCTGCTGGGCTAGCGCCGCGTCCCGGTCCTTTGCCACGTGCGCCGGCTGAGAGACTGTGCGCAGCTGCTGGTCCACCTCCAGAATCCGCGCGCGCAGCGTCTGGACGTCCTGTGGACACGGTTTGGTCAGAATCGGCGCCGGGAGATACCGGACGGGCGGCGCCAGCAGAGCGAACCGGGAGGCACTGAGGCCGGAAGGACGCTGTAGTAGGAAACATCTAAGGCTTCCCTATAACACTCACACGATAAGGTTTCGCGTCGTAAACTTTGTTGGCGGCGGCATGAATCCCGACGAGGATTAACTATACGATGCGGTGTCACTGAGATTGATCTAACCCGCTCTCCACTCGGAGCTATCAGTCTAACCCGGCGTCCACTCGGGAGTTGGGGGGGGGGGGGGTATCACGCCTATCTCCAAAGACAATGATTCTTAAGAGAAGGCCTATCTCTCAAGACAATAATTCCACAGAGAGGCGGGGAACATCGCGATAAGGCTTTAAAAAACACGTAATACTCAAAATTGACAGACACCTGAGAAACCAATAGTTTAAAAAAAGGCGATCCTTCGATGACAAATATTCAGCTAGCCTATTTATTGGCTAAACTTTTATTGTGATTCTATTCATTACTCGCAGTAAGAAAGCGTCCATATGCTGGAGAGCACTTTCATAAAATAAGCAATCGGTCGTAAGTACTCCCGGTAAACTGCCTATCGCGTTGGCATATAACTAGCAAGTGACTTCAGAATTGAGGACTTTCATGGATGAAAAGGAGCAGATTGACCCGGAGCTCAACATTCATCCGGCTTGTCGGCTCTGTGATAGGTTTTCGATAGGAGTTTTGACACCTACTGACAGGTGGTTGCGGGATAGCGGAGCCTAATCTCCCCGCTCGGCCACGTACCGCACACATGCGCCAGGTATGGCGGAGCAGGGCGCGCGCGTTACGCACGCAGCTGCGCAGCTGATCGCCGCTCGTCTGAGGGGTCAGCGCGCGCCGCCGGCTGGCGCGGCCGTCCCGCGCCGGAGTGTCCTCCGCCGGCCGGGCGTCCGGGGTCAGGAAACGGACCACGGCACCGGCCGCCTCCCGGGGATCCCCGGCGGGTCGGCGGCCGGCCGGGGAGCGCCGACCAGCAGGAGAGGCATTCCCCGGAGAGGCATTCCCCGGAGAAGCAGGACAGCGTTCGGATGCACTCCAGGACTCTGGCGAGCCCGCACGGCCGGCTGTCCAGGATTCAGGCGAGCGCGGCCGGGCGGCGGTCCAGGATTCAGGCGATCGCGGCCGACAGGCGGTCCAGGATTCTGGCGAGCGTGCCCGGGCGGCGGTCCAGGATTCAGGCGAGCGCGGCCGACCCGCCGTCCAGGACTCTGGCGATCGCACCCGGCCGGCCACACGCGCTGTCGCGCTGTTTGAGGCCGATCGCCGTGTCCCAGCCCGGCCGGCCGAGGCAGTGTCGACAGAGGAAGCCGAGGATGAGGAAGCCGATGACGATGTAGATGATGCTGAGGAAGGCGAAGTGTCGGGCAGCGGTGGCAGGCTGCTGGACCGGCGGCGCGCCGGGCCGAGCTGAAACAGGCGCGTGCACCGGGGTACAGGATCACAGGACTGTGGCATCATGGGGCGGTCTGATCGGCCAGGCCAGAGTCGGGGCCACAGTCAACGTAGTGGAAACTGATACAAGACAAGGATGATGATTATAAGGAAGAGCAAAATGTGGAATTCGGGTGCATAAATGTATAAATCCTCCTCTGCTGCCGCTCCCCCTTTTGATATAACTGCTCTAGGTACGGGAGACGTAGGAGCGTCCCTTGCTCACCTTTAAATCTTAATTGATACCGCTTCAATTCGGCTGAGGGGAATGGATGTCCCTGCTTACCTGTTGGTACTGCTCCAACTGGGCAACACACACGCCAAGTGCCTGGCAGTGCTGGTCAACGGTGGTCTGCAGTGCGCGCAGCTCGGTCTCGAGCTCCGCCCGCCGCTCCTCTACCACCGAGGCGCCGTCGAAGTAGCCCGAACGGAAGTGGACCTGACGACGGACGGGGACGGTCAGCCCACTGAGCGTCCGCGGCGGATGACACCCCGGCTGTGACACCCCCAGCGGGTGGGGTCACCCTTTTACACGGCGGGTCGGCGCCACTCCCCTCACCCGGCGGTGAGGTGACGATTAGCCGGTCAAGGGCCGCTATCAGTCACCGCTGGTCCCTGATAGCGGGACGGGAGGCCGGTGTCTGCCTCTCACCACTGACACCTGACCGCGCCATTCAGATAACAAACACAATATCACATTGATCGTGGTTATCAAATAACCTTGTCAAAGACAGGTGACCCCTAAGAATGAGCGCTTGAAGACCGCTGATTCCGTATCTCGAGGGTTAGCAATGTCCGGTGGCGGCAGACAGCCCGGCCGCGCCGAACGGCCATTACGACGGAAATGCCTGAAGCAGGGAGAATTTACCGTCCCTGCCTTTTCATTGCTCGCAAAAGAACGTCGTTCAGAGGCATCTGAAGGTTACTGACGACAGCAGAGGAAAATATGAACAGGAAGACAGAATTAGACTAAGCAGTGAATCCGGCGTCGAGGGGATATTGTCGAGTCAGCGATACATACGAAGACGTTCAGCCACTGCAAGCACCGTGGCCAAACGTTAGGTCATGCTTATGTCGGGTCTTATAATGAGCTGAATTAGCGCATCTCTTCATCCCTCGTGAGCGCAGCCGGTCCGTCGGCGGTCGGTCCCACTCACCCCCAGTTTGTCGACGGCCATGGCGAGCCGCGTGCGCTGGATGCCGTTGTCGCTGGACATTTTCTCGCAGAAGGCGAGCTGGTCGCGCAGCGGCCGTCGGCGCGCCTGCTGCGACTCCAGCGCGGCGCGCGAGGTGGCGCACCACGCGTGCACGTCCTTCATCTTACGCTCGCACTGTTCCCACTCCTCAGTCATTTCCATCAGCAGTGACATCTGTCCGCGGAGAGGGACAAACGACGAGCAATAACGATGCAACGTATTCCAGACACAAAACCAACCGCCGGGCACAGAAATTGTGCTTGTTATGTTCACACAACCATTGGGCGGAAGCATCACTGATCAGCCTTTTTTGTTATCAACTGGTGAGGATGCACGGCCACTTAAGCGCACCACGCTCAGAATAATCGCTGCTGAGAGGCTCGGCCCAGTCCTGCCCCGACCGATTATTCAGTCCCACCTCACCCCATTGTATCATCTTGTCCACTCAGACAGTTCATCCCAGCCCCTCCCTCCAGCTCTCCACACGCCCCGCCACTCACCCTCTCCTTGAGCAGGGTCTCGGTCTCGATCTTATCGTGCTCGCACGATGACATCCGCTCGGTGAGGGCGTCCACACTCGACGTCTCGCCGATACTCGACAGCTCGGTGGCCATCTCGTGCAGTTTGCGCGTCGCCCACTTGCATTCCTTCACAGCGGCCTGTGGAAACAGACAGAGGTGTGTTAGATAGATGGTACAGCCCTCTGCAGACTGCGTGGTAGGTATTCTTTTTTCGACAAAACCGAGAATAACGCGAATACTATGCTATCGGGCACTCAGAAATCGTAACAGCAAGATGCGCGAGACTCCGCAGCTTAGATTGACATTACCATCGTATGCATTTTCCATCCAGTTTGGCAACAAAACCCAAAAGTTTAGATTTGCCACCAAAACGAACTTTTACATTTTGTTGCCGCACAAGGCGTATGTTTTGTTTATTGATAGGCCCTATCGAAGGAGTGGAGCATGGCGCATCTATTTGCAGTGAGTTTCGACCGACTGATAACATGACTTTTGAATTATTATCAGTTTTGTCGGAAAAAGAATACCTACCACGCAGTCTGCTGAGGGCTGTACATCAGTCTAGCCTAAATGGCCAGCATCGGGGGTCAGAGCTATGTCGACCAACTAAAAAGTAAAACATCAAAGTGCATCCATAATCAGGCTTTCATAAAAAAACGTTTAAGTGACAGATCAAGATGAAGGCCTTGGTGATGCCCAAGCATTCCCTTGAGCCCAATTCAAAACAATGCTTCCTAATCAGTGAATGGCATGCCGTCTGGGTTATGATTCCGTCGACTTGGCTGTGCCGCACACGTGCCGCGCCGTCTCGTTACCTTGTACTCGTTGAGCGCATCCCTGGCCTCTGGCAGGGTGTTGAGCGTGCGCGGCTGCTGGGCCAGCGGAGCCTGCTTCTTCATCCAGTCGCGGACCGAGGCATGCAGCTCGATGAAGCGGCTCCACGAGTCTAACGACTCCATCACCTGGGGACGGGAATCAGTCAGTAGAGGGCAAGCAGATACAGAAACATACGGATAGAGCAGACACCGATCAATGCAAACACGAAGATAGAGACACGGTGCAAGCACAGCACAAACACACCCACTGTTCGTGGGTGGGGTCGCAAATAATCATATCGGCTTTCGCCCCTCCCCGTCACAGCCGCGGCGGGCGGCACCTCACCTGGGCGTGTCTCTTCTCGAGCCGCTGTCTGGCGGCGTCCAGCTCCTGGTGGCGCCGCTGGACGGCCTGCTGCACGTCGGCCCGCTGCCGCTGACAGCGCGCCCGCTCCGTGATGACGCCTGCCAGCCGGCTGACGTCGGCCATGGTGACGGCGGTCACCGCCAGCTCAGCCTGCAGCTCCTCGGTGGCGGCGCGCAGCTCCTCGGGGTCCAGCGCGCCCGAGCGCAGCCGCACGTCCAGGTCGCCCAGCCACTCCGACACCGAGCCGAGCCCGGCGCGGTACTCGGTCAGCACTCGGCCGGCCCGCTCCGTCTCAGAGTCCAGGTCGGCGCGCGCCTGCCGACACCCGTCCCAGAGCAGCTCCACGCGGGACACCTGAAAACGGTCCGTGCCGGTGCGGTCAGCGGAGTCAGAGACAGAGACTGAATGGATATAGCCGACGGACAGACTGCAGGCTACGCACAGACGGATACAGCCGGCAGTCTTATCGACTGTTAAAAAAATCACTTGATTGAACAACAACGGCGTCAGGCAGTCGGATCTCGAAGTCAGTTTCATTTGGTCCATTTCCCGCACTTGAATTGTTGGATACAATTTGCATTCCCATCTGCATGAATTGCTGGATACATATTGCATTCCCATCTGCCCAGGTGTGGCTGTGGGTACGACCTGTAATTCGTTCCCCAACCCTTTCCACCAGCCTACCTTTGCGGCGATATCGCGTGGCGTGCCGTGTTCGTATCGTTCCGACACCTCCGAACAGAGGGCAGTGACCTCTGAGCCGAGCGAATCTGACGCCTCCCGCAGACCCTGGCAACGCACAGAGAAACATAAAGGAGCGATGATACACACATGAGTCCACTCATACAATCAAGTTGTTCATTGGCAGAGCTATCACTACATAAAGTACTCGTCTCTTCATCAAAGAGGCAGTGCTACGCTCGGTAAACGATCCATCCAACCCGCTGCTAGCAATGAGCTCCCCTCTCACACACAATCCATCCGACTCGCCGCTCGCACGCTCTCCCCTCTGTACCTCCACCACCGGTTCGCCCACCTGCAGTCGCCGCGCAGTGTCCTCCTGGTCGGCTCCGTACGGGTCCAGCTCAGACAGCGCCGCCCGGTGCTGCTCCAGACGAGTGGCGGCCGCGTCCGCGCGCCGACCCGCCTCCTCAGCGAACGTGGCCTCGGCCTGCAGCTGCTGGTGACGCTCGTCCAGGCGGGACACGATACTGCGGACATACGAGGATGGATGAGGACATAGCAATTAGAGGGACATACGGACGCGGACAAAATTCATCCGACCAGTCCGGAAACCCTGGCGCTGGGTCATTCTTCGCTCGGGATCGGCACGCGACGGAAGGGCTGCCTTGTACCTCACCCAAAGCCGGTTGGAGGGTTACACCCTTTCACACTTCACCGTCGTTGCAAGCGCAAAGGAGCAGCATGGAAATACATACATGTGCGCCCAGACATGACTCTGAAGTGAAATATTTGAGCCAAAATAATCAACAAGCAGCCCCCGTCAGCAGCATCCGGCCCGTCCTCTCACCCGTCGATGTTGATCTGCAGCTGGTGGGTCCGCTCGGTCAGCGGACCGTGCGCCGGCGACTGGGCGCCCTGCAGGTAGGTGAGGAGGTCGGCGGCACGCGGCGCCAGCTCCCCGTGCCGCTGGCGCAGCTGACCCAGCTCTGTACGACACGTCTGGACCTGTTTGACCAGCGCGTGCCGGTCCGAGGCCGAGTCGGCCGGCCGCAGCGCCTCCACACTGTCCGAGGCCGCGTCTGCCGCCGACTCCAGGGAGAGCAGCTCGCGCTCCACGTAGTGCCACAGCTGGATCATGTCGTCCATGTGTGAGGCGGCCGAGTCGAGCCGGTCGGCCGCCTGGCGCCACTCGTCCTGCGCCAGGTCGGCCTCGGACGCGCCGCCCTCGCCGCCGGAGGAGCCGTCCAGGGAGTCGACTAAGGTGCGCAGCTCAGAGAGCAGCGGCAGCTTGGACTGAAAGTCGAGACATCATACCGTCAGTGCATCAGCGGCAATGGAAACCAAGTAGCCAGAAAAACGCCCCCTTCATAGCAAAGAGGTAAGCGCATGCCATGTACCCTCTTAAAAAAAAATCATAATCCGATGAAGGTTGTCAAGCAAAAACCCTTACATCTTGCAACTATAAGGTTCGGGCGGTGCCTCAGCCACCGTGCGTCACTTACATCTAGGGCGGCGCGTGCCTGTCGCGCCTGGGTGGCCGCCTCTCGGAGCGCCTCCTGGCTGGACGGCGGCGTCGGCTGGTGGACGGCGGCCGACAGCGCCGCGCGCACCTGAGCCAGCAGGGCGTCGACGCGCCGACGCGCCTCCAGCTGGCGGGCGGCGCCCTCCAGCAGCTCGGCGGCGCGCGCCACAATCGCCTCGTAGGAGACGACCAGCTGGCGCTGGTTGGCGTCCAGCTGGGAGCGCGGGCCGGGCGCCAGCAGCGGCAGCAGTCGGTCCACCGTGTCCTGCAGCTCAGAGACCTGGCCGCGACGGGCTGTCTCCTCCGACATCAGAGTCTGCGGGCGGAGGCCGGTACATCGTCAGAGGAAAGAGCCAGGGACGCGGCGGTTTCAGTCGTCCTTTCATCAGACAGCGTCTACTCGTATGTAGTATGATATATGGGACAGAATGTCAGAAAATCAATTCAAGCCCCGAGTTTGGCCCAAAACTGAAAGTCAGCCAGCCCCTCCTGTCCCCGTCTCTGTCATTCACTCAGCCCCCTGCCCGTCTGGCCCGTACCTGGCAGCGGTTGACGGCCTCCTGGCTCTGCTCGGCGTCTGTTCCCTCCTCCTCTGCCGCCTCCACGCTCTCTCCCACGTGACGGGCCCACTCTGACACCGCCTGTTTGGTGGAGCGGTACTGGTCGAGCAGGCGCCGCGCCTCCTGTAAGTAACTGTCGACGGGAAAAAGACCCGTGAGACAGGGGTCATAGCAAACACCGCATGGACAAGGGTGTGCATTCTGGCCGCAGCACATATTCAAATGAAGACAGTTCAAGATAATCACCCTCCAGTTCAGCCATTCTTCCTACGCATTGGAGACATAACTTATAGCAACTCGATGAACAGGGTTTCAGTGCCTCATAACACAACCTGAAAGAAATCAACTGCTAAACCGTAATTTTTCATAAGGTAGTGCGTTCCAGTGCGCTGTGATTTGACAGCGTGTTAGTGCCAGGCAAGTTAGTGCTCTCCGTACGTCTGTCTGTCTGTGATCTCGTTGGGCAGCGTCTGCAGCAGACCGCGCGCCTGGCTGAGCTGCTGCTGCAGGCCGGCAGGGAGCTCCCGGCCCGGACCCAGGCCGTCGGCTTCTGTGACCAGCTGCTGCAGCCGATCCAGCGCCGGCCGCGCCTCGTCACACAGCGTCTGTAGGGGCAACACAAACATGGTCACAGAACGTGGTGCACACCACAACCCACAATATACACCAATCAACATATCATGAAAGTGCAAGGTCTCAAACTGACATAGCTGCAACTACAAATCACGTCCAATAAGGACCGACATCAAAATACTTCCATGCTACAAATCGTTCATATTTTCTAAGTGCGATCACCTACAAATGACCAAAAAAGTTCAGAACTCCCCCCCCCCCCCCCGGGGCGTCTGCCCGTCTGTCTCTCTGACACATCCTTGGTCCGTGCGCCATACCTGGCTCTCGTCACAGTGCCGGTGGAGCTCGGCGTCGTCCATGGTGAGGGCGGGCCGCGACTGGACGGCCGTCTGTCGCTCGTGCAGCCAGTCCAGCTGCGAGGCCAGCTGGTCCGTCAGCGCCGCGTGCTTCTCCGCCGTCTGATGGATAGAGCCGAGGATTAGACGGTATTTCAGTGGAGGCACAAATTATTGGGCAGAGCTCGCTTGGTCGCAACCACGTCCCATCTGAGCGGAGTAAATGGCATGAGACGTCAGCACACCAGTCTGGAAAGTAGGCACTGAGTCGAAGGACTATTCCAACAAAACTCAGCAAATATCAGTATATAATGCCTAACAGACAACTCCCCCATGCTAACACTGGCTTTCTTAGGACATCAGCTGAGTCCAATGCTCACACTACGTAGCTGTGCCACTGCCACAAACGATAAAATAGCCATATCCCGCCCGACTCCCACAGACCACTGTCAAACAGCGAAGCCTGCCACCACTTCCCGCGTCCCTCACCTCCTCGTACTGCCTCCTCTTGTTCTCCACAGCCCTCTTGAGCAGCGTCACCTGCTGTTTGAGGCTCTGCAGCTGCTTCAGGATGGCGTTGCGGTCGCTGACGGTGCCCTCCTCGGAGATTTGCTGCCCCTTGTCCTGGGCGGCCGCCAGCAGCGCCTCGATGTCCTGAACCTGAGGTCACAGACACACACGATAGGTCAGTGATCGGAGTCGGGACGGGGTAGGCTGGATTGGAGCTAAACTGGAGTCTAGGTGGGTATGAAGCTGAACCGGGTCGGCTGAGGAAGCAATCTCTTGACAGGTCCGGGTCGAAGTGGGTCAGAGGCAAACCAGACCTGAGCTATCTCTGCCAGCCCCCGGGTTGGCGTGGGGTCTTTCTGGCCGCGTTCGGAGTTCGTCGGGCTAAGTATCTATCGTCGCGGTGAGTCTGACTCAGGCCAAGGTCGAGCTGGACCCATCATCAAAACTCTCGGGATTCACTCGGTTTATTGCCAGCCCGCGTTCAGACCGCACATTTTAGAAAAGCTAACAGACTCAGACTGAGTAGCTTTCCGATCAAATCCGGCGGGTAACGTGTCAACAGCTACTACACCAATCGGGCTACACTAGCGAGTAACACAGACTCAGAACGGATGAACTGACGACTGCTCATTGTCAATGCATATAGATCGGCATCTATTGGCTTGTGAAACGCGAATACTGAATAATACAACATTTCTATCTAACACAGGATATGACGAGACCGCTACGACAGATATCACTGCGACAACTGAAACGCACACAATGATTAAATGGACATGAAAACTCAGTCTCTAGTCTCGAAAGAATCCCTACACTTTAAAACGCCACCAGAGAGCGCTAAATCATCAAGACGTTTGGAAAACCCTTGCATGGGTTGACCATGCTTCTTTTCCATTTCAACTTTACTTCTGTCCATTGTCCATGCCCATAATCATGAATAAACGACAAACAAACAAACAAAACCAGGCCCTTATGCACCACCATTACAAAATATGAGGTTAATTCGAGAGGCTGCAGACTACCCATTCTGAGGGCTTTCACGCACAAAGAACAACTTATTCCGAGAAATAAAAAGGTGGGATAAACATAGCCAACAGAAAATTTGTGCCTAAGATTCTTGCCCTTCAGTGAGGTAACGCCTCGGGTTAGTACGCAGATATTCATATACAAGACAAGGGGGAGGGTCACGTTTGGAGCGCAGTCGGCTGCTGCTATATCAGAGGCCGGAGGGGGGGGGGGGCGGTGAGCGGGTCAGACGTGTCAGCGTCACACGGGGTCACAGCGGTCGGCCGTCAGCCGTCACACAGCGTCACGCGCCGTCTCGTTACCATCCGTGTGCACTGAGATACGCTCAGGTGTCGCAGAGAGTCGGGCAGCGGGAGCGGCAGCTCGGAGCCACCCTGCGGGCCCCACCGCCGCCGGGTCACCGGGGCGGAACGGGCGGGCGCAGTACGGGAGCAGGACGTGGGACGGCCGGCGAGATAACTGAGCTGGTGGCGGCTGATCTCAACCTTTCGCCACTATATGGCTACATGTGGGGCTAATAACTGAAATGTTCGCTATGCAAAGGACTCTATAAACTGGCACTAAGGACACGGCACTGGAACTTAGGCGTGTATGCACAGAATGGGTTGCGCTATGCGGGAGTTATAAACTAACAGAATATTCAAAATATGCGTTCAAACAAAATATGGAGATATGCACACACCTACCTACACAAAATTCCCCCGAAAAAAAAGATACAAGTTGAAGTGACAACAGTTTTCTATGAAAATGTTCGACAACCTCTACATATTATGCATGATGTGCCGTGTCAGCTCCCTCCAGAGCCGCGTGCACCTACCTTGGCGAGTACTGCCGAGTACTGTTTGATTTTGTCGGGGACCGGCCGGTCGGTTCGCTCCACGTCGGCCACCACGTCGGCGTGACTCGTCAGGAAGGTGGTGATCTCGGTCAGCAGGTGCAGGAACTGCTGGCGCAACAGCACCAGGTTCCGCAGCTTCGACACCTGGAGACGGCGGGCACGGAGACATGGCGGTGGTCAGACACACGGACAGAACTATTATCATCCTGTGGTGAGTCGAGTGGTGAGTCGAGCTTTTCAAGGGGATAGACGTGTTTGAAGATGCTCCGCTTTTTACCGTGTTTCATGCGGAAGGGATGCTAGTTTAGTGTTTAAATGTGTATGTAAATGTTGCTAATTTAACGTAGATCATTTGTATTGTTTTGTTTAAGCACAAAAGTGAAAGCTGTGCCTGCTCTAAGTCTTCAAAAATTGCATTTTTCTTACTTAAGAACATAATCGGGTGGGACTAAATGCTTACTTCGAAATCTAAGCTACGTTGCGGCATTGGCGGTTATGTGCGGCGTGTATGCCGCATGATTAGTAAGCGGCGACCACTAAATTAAAGACTCAAACGCTCCGACCGGTTCTCAATGAATAACACTGCATACCAAAAATGCCAACCGCTCTCGTCATAAGATATTTAGCTTTAAATAACTAGGTTATCTACATCATCATTTTGAACCAAATTAATACTTTCAACTTAACTCACTCATTCCTTCCTTTGTTGTCTCCAAACAGTCTTTCGATTGTCTGGAAATCGTATGCTAAAATTTAGCATTAAATCCCGTACCTGTATGCGACTGGTGCATATAAAGGCCGATAAAAGAATTTGAATAGGCTCTGGCATGTGATTTCCTGGCTACCCAAAAAAGTCTGTTTCAGTCTTGCTATCAAAACATGACCTCGCCCGCACAGGGGGGGGGGGTGATGCAACCCCCCTAAGGTTTTTCGCGAATAACTCGCTTAAAAAGCGGCTGATCGCGACGAAACTTTCAGTACCCTCGCATTGATCAATTTAACACCCATCCTGAAAATTTCATGACCCTGACCCAAATGACCTTTGACCTGTGACCTACTTTTCGAGACCATGTTTGGCCGGAACCGCGATTCAGCGTATGTCGGCTCGCATTAACAGCGCGTTTGCAGTCTTTTCGTGGTTTCAAGCGTTCAAACATGTGATATGATGTTGCCCCCATGCATTAGGGTGGGTGTCAAGGTCACCTGAAGGTCAGGTCAGGTCATTGACCTTTGGTGACCTCGGTTCACTTTTTCGAGTTTGACATGTTTCTAGGTCAGTTTTTTTCGAGCTGAATTCGAATTAAGCAACCACATGAACGTTTACAAAGTAGTTTTGGTGCCTTCGTAACATGTTACGAGGCTGTCAGAGGCGGTTGACACCTACTACAAATACCTGGCAGGACCTCTACTGGTTGACCTGACCTGACCTAGCCCGATCTGGCCTAAATGAATGAAGACATCATCTGTGATCAAAACTAGCATGATATTCGTGATCAGCACCCCGAAAAACCCTATACCAGCCACACTACGACGTTCTAACAGGTCCCAATTTTCCCGCCTTTTGGGTCATTGACCTGACCTGGAAGGTCAACCGATGACCTAGGACCTTAAAATTGGGTATCATCGGCTTTCTCTCGTCACGGGCAACACGCTCGTTTTTTCCGCGAAGCTCTAGCTTGATCAGGAGCGAAACGGCAAGGGGTTATACCTTATACGTTCGCGGCTGAGTATTAATTTGGTTCAAAACAATGATGTAGATAAGTTAGTTATTTAAATCTAAATATCCTATGACGAGAGCGATGGACATTTTTGGTATGCAGTGTTATCCATTGAAAACAGGTCAAAGCTATTGAGTTTTTAATTTAGTGGTCGCCGCTTACTAATCATGCGGCATACACGCCGCACATAACCGCCAATGCCGCAACGCAGCTTAGATTTCGAAGTAAGTATTTAGTCTCACCCGATATTTTCGTATTTGTCGAGGCGGACAGCTTGTTCTTGATTTTTAATCTGCACACTCGTGCACTCAGCAAGTCGAGGCACCTCTGCGCCTCTTGCTCCACTTTTTGAAATGGCAGCAAGCTTGAGAAATGTCAAAACAGGTTGTGCTATGAGCACAATCAATCTATCTGACGACGACTCGGATGACTCCATTGGAGGATTCGACATGGACAGTAAGCAATGGATCATTGCTAGAAAATCGAAGAAAAACAAAAAGATCGTTGGATCCGTACAGTCGCCTAGCAGCGAACCTCAGACAGTTAAACATTCTAATGGTGAAGAGATGAAAACGTGCAAAGGAAGATCTGATCAGCGTTGTGGAAAGCCGATAGAAGATGACAGTGGTGCGCTCTGTGTTACTTGCGGCTTTCTGTTCCATGCAGACTGTCAACAAATATGCGGGCCAGCTATGCAGGCACTACAAAAGTACAGTGTCCTATCCTTTGTCTGCAGCTTCTGTAAAACTGATAAGATAACTCAGGACAAGATGAAGCAGAACTGCACCGCCATCGAAACCAAGATCGCAAACTTGGAGCAAGCTATTGAGAGCAATACGAAAGCTCTCAACAAACTATTATCAGCCCACGAGCACGAAGTCAAGCAGGCAGTCCCTGCAGAAGCGCACACACTGCAAGCAAAAACGTATGCTGAAACAGTTCGAGGAACTTGTGACGAAGTTCTCAAGACAGTAACAGACAAGCTCAAAACCCTGACCAAGGAAGATCAGTGGAAGAGAGAAGAAAACATTATTTTGCACAACATTCCGGAAAGTAGGGCAGCTGACCCAGCGGCGAGACAGAGATACGACGAGGACAGCTTTGCAAACATAGTTCATGCTTTGCTAGGGGAATACCAAGATATCCAGACTGTCAAAGTATTTAGACTCGGCCGAAGGAATGACGCGGGTCAAGTTAGAAGAGATGGAACCCACACAGACAACACGACGAAACCGAGACTACTCCTTGTAAAGCTGACAAGCAAAGACGATGTGGAGCGACTGATGAATTTGAGATACTTCCTTAAGAACTCAGGCTTCGCGAACATTTATATGAGTCGCGACCTCCCACCTGAGGAACGTGAAATTCAACGCAAATTAAGGGAAGAGCTGAAAGTGAAAGGGAAGACCACCCACCGTATATTTCGGGGGCGTGTTGTCCCCAAAGGCCAAAGAGGGGAGGAGCTCTTTGAAGAAAGACAAGGAAGACGTTAAAGGAAGACAAGAATACAGCTTGATAAAGTTGATGCAAATAAGCCCAAACTCTATAAACATAGAGATTTTTAACACAGAACACCAGGGACATATAAAAAGCTTTGGTGCAAGCACTCCTGAGCACATTGAAAATTATGGAGTGTCCACAGCAGACTTACTGTGGCAAAACATCCCTGCCAAGAAGCAGACTGAATGAGTTGACTGAAGGATACTTCAATCATTTCCCTCCAATGTTGGTTTACCTGAGTAGCAATTGAATACGTATGTTGAGAGATATACTACAATTTACTCAACAGAAAGCACAAAGTACCTAGCTGACTGAGCAATGTGAGCCCTAGCTAGGTGCTGGTCTGAAAATAAGTAAATAAAGAGCATTGTGTACATTTTTTGGGAAGCATTTGGTATAATGGTCTTGCTGATTGAAATGACCCAGTTCCTTCAGTGATCATTCATGTGCATGATAACGGACTCAGATAAGGGCCTGCCTGCTTCTCCCACCTCAACCTCTTCTTAAACAATTACTGAATTGCAAGCTGTCCCCTGCTCAACTTAGCACCTGAACGTCTCAGTCATCTGCCAGCCCTCAGTCCCCAGCTACCCTAAAATCTGCCCTAATCCTTGTCAGTATCTATACCCTTGTCTCAACTCTCAACCTCTGGTAAATTGTTGCAATTCACATGGCTTATGCCTGTGGCTGATTTTGATTTGAACCAGCTAAACATATGTCAACTTACAGTTTATACATATAGCATACATCACCTCTCACACAATGAATTCAAATAAGAGACTCACTCAAAATACTCCTACTACACAGCACGTGCAAGGCCATCTATAGAAGGTACAGTCACTCTCCCGCCGACCAATCAGAGACAGATCCTGAGTGACGTCACCCCTGATGCTCGATAGGGGTACTCCATTCCTTTACAACGTAAAAATGACTAACTTCATTTGAAGATTGTTGGTGACACTCTACACATATCGCTCAACCATTGATGCCATTGGAAAGTCCAGCTAATTTTCTAGCGATAAAAAAGAGCAACAATATGCTAAGAAATGGCCGGTTTTGAAGATATAGACGATTTAAAAACCCTCTGCAGTTGAAGGAAAGCAACGTAAAAACGCATCGAGCTTATATTTTTACTATGAATAAATCATTTTTCAGTAAGTTTTTAGATATGGTATCGATTTATTCAACAACTTTATTACAATATTTTTATTACTTGGAACTTTATTTCAAAATAATATTTTCAAAAATGGCAACTGTTGGCAAGTAGCTTTGAAGCGATTGTGGCGCACCGCGCCATTATTGTCCTGAGGCCCCCATATGATGTCATCAAAAGTGGAGTGACATGGGCCTGAGCACGTGTTCTACTAATTTGCATATTCCTTATGAATGAGTAAAACGTATTTCGTCATCCGGATTTGTCTGCTTGCAAACATCACTTTTGTCTGTCCCTTCACTTTGCTCATTATTGATTACCTATACGGAAATTTTCTTTCATTATCTGTGATAATGCTGAAATCAAAAATGAGTTTTGAATTTTTAGGAAATATTTTACAACATTCCTGTTGAAATGTTGTATGTGATAGTATAATGATAAATAGAACCACAAATAAATAAATATATCACACAATTATTCCTCTTCCTTAGAGGCACCTCAACCTTTAGTACCACAAACAACTGGTGATACGCGTAGTTGCGCGTAGTACTTTGCGTACGTAGACTTTCCTATCCTATCTTTCGCGGCTATTGATACGCTGGCTGACGAGTCAACCGTATTCGATATCTATAATGAAACTTTTGATCCCTTCATAAATGATATAGGCAACATATCCACGACTCATTCCCAATATGATAAGGTGAGGACTAGCTGCAATTTTCATGAATGTATCAAATTTCGAAATCTTAACTGTTTTGAAAATAACATTTCAA